AGTCAAAAGTATGAGCTCACCTACTTATTATTACTAATTTCCGCATTTTATAATAATACTATGATTATATCTATGAAACAAAACAGGTGTATGGACTTGAATCTGTTGTGAAATGTGTGTGGGGGGGAAATCATGGCCTCACATGAAATTCCTGTTTTAATTTTGTGATGTTTTTTATTTTATTTTGTCATAATATAATACTGTTTTGATCTGTTTAGTTACTTTTTAATATTTTTTATAGTGTGGTTTTTGGTAAATTGCATTAAAACCAGTTTGGGATTACCCACAATCACAGGCCTAATTATTATTAATTCTAATAACATTATATGACCTGCAACAAAAATGAACTAAAAACAAAACTGTTCTACCCCCCTTATTTAATTCTTAGATAATAACAAGTGAGATTTCAAAGAAAATTCTGTCATCATTTACTCACCCTCAAGTTGTTGAACATAAAATGCTTTGAAGAATGTGAAACAGCAAGTTTATGGCCTGCTATTTATTTTATTCGTAGATAATAACAATTGAGATTTCAATGACATTCTCATCACTGAAATTGTACTATGAAATCTGGACAGACACCTTCCTGAATGAGCCACTAGGAATCTTTTTAGAGAACCGATTCAAAAGATTCGACTCAAAAGGACGATTCAAAACCTCCACTATCAATCGTTTGATCACCAGGGGGCGCCAGAAACGTGTTCCTGAAGGTGGTGACGACATATTCCTGAGACAGGCGCTGGAATTAAACGAGACATGACTTTGTCAAGTCTATTTTCAGTTTAATATTTTGAATATCTTCATGAACTGACGAACTGCCTTTGCACCAAAATGTCTGTGCTCAGAGCCATCAGATGCAACGTAAATGTTTGAATCTTCTCTTTCTTTATCTTAACGCGTGTGTTTTGCTTGCGTTTGCTCAAAATGACGGTTGCATGCGTTAACGTGACAGCGTTGTTTGTGAATGGACGCAGTGAGCGTAAAGTTGCACTGTCACCTTGTCAAATACCAGGCAGGCGTAATGTCACATTGTAAAATTATGGTTACATTCAGTTGACATGTCTCTCTGTGTGTTTAGCCTCAAGTGCTGTGTAGAAATCTAAGCGCGCGGTCTTCGTCCAGTCTGACTGATGGAGAGACGCGAATCACACAAGTTCTGAAGGAGAAGTTTCCTCACGCTTCGTCGCTCAAGGTTGTGGATATATCAGGTTAGTCCTGACTCTGAATGAAGCTGAAGATCTGAATTGTGTTTAAACAGTCAGGGAATGTGCTGTAATGTATTTGCGTCCATTTCAGGAGGCTGTGGTGCAATGTACGAAATACACCTCGAGTCTGATGAATTTAGAGGAAAGAGAACAGTACAACAGCACCAGTTAGTCAATCAGGTAAGTCAAATCCGACATCCATAATTATGTTCAGTATAATAGTTCAGTAAACAGTTCTGTTAGCTCTATTACTTCTATTAGTTTTTTCACTTAAAGGGGTGGTTCATTGCGATTTCACTTTTTTTAACGTTAGTTAGTGTAAAAGAAGCGGTTCTCAATACTGTACCTCGCGTCCCCCTGCTCTTCACACGCTCTGCATCTCTCTCTCTCTCTCTCAGCTCGGCTCCAACAATGAACTGTTCCAATTATACACTTATTTTCACATAGCTATGAGAAGCATTAAACATGGACACGCATGCGGTTGCTGTACTGTATTAAAGCTTTAATCAGGATAAAAACGTATATTAAAAGCTAACATTAGCAGTAGCATTTACAACAGCGTATCTAAAAGTAATGTATGAGACAACAACAAACAAAAAACATAGGCCTACCATTAAAAGCCGTGCTTGCACAGGTTCTGCGCGATCCTCTTCAATAATATCCTCTGCTTCTCAATCGGGCTCAAACTGATAAGCAATATTAATGACGCCGTTGTTTACAATACAACAGGAGAACATGCTGCTGAGGTGAGGGGCGGGACGTTTAGATGCGCACTAGAGGCAGTTTAGCCAATCACAACACACTGGGCTAGCTAACCAATCAGAGCCCATCGCCTATTTCTGAGGGCGGGGCTTCATAAAGACAGGAAAAGATCAGTCCGTTTCTCAGAGAAGGGACAGAGCTGTGTGGAACAAAGGTAAATTATGAGAAAAATAATGCGTTTTTTTTTTTTTTTAACCGAAGCTTTAACACATGTTAGACTGCACCCCATAAACACAATCAAGCCTAGAAAAAACCCAGTGAACCACCCCTTTAAATGGTCACGTGGTGAACAACTGAACATTGTTTATTAAAAGCACAAACATTACATAAAATCTCTCAATTAATCCGAGGTCCTGAAAGCTGTATGCATAATAATTATTGAAAAAAAAAAAATGCTGTTGAATTAATATCACTGAGCAAGAGTGATGAAAACCAGCACAGCCTTAGTATTGAAGCATGATTGTGAGTAGTTTTTATACACCAGTTCAGTAAAAATGAAGTTAAAGGGATAGTCCATTGCATAATTTTTGCAGAACACAGAATAATTTTAAAAGATTGTTTTGTTTTATTTATTTATTTGTTTTATTTATTTATTTTTTTACAATGAAAGTCATTAGGGTCCAATCATTTTGTGTTCTGCAGAAGAAAGAAAATCATACAGGTTTAAAATTATACAAGTGTGCCAAATTATGCCAAAATATAGCCTTGTAGTTCCCTTTTCTCCTCCACTATCAGTTCGTATGGACCGGGACAGAGTATTTGGGGGAAAAAAGCAGCTTCCTCTCCTCTTTCCTTTTCTTTTCATCCCAGCTATCCAAACAGGATGCATTAATAATAGTCTTCTTTATCTGACTTTTTTTGTTTTAATATTAGCAGTACTGTGGCCTTTTACACAAAGCTGTTTTCAGTGGCTACCCAGGTAAGCTTGAGATTAGTTTGAGCAAACTCAAACTTTTCTTGAAGATGGAGTGGTTTTAGTGTGAAACACATTCTGGGTAAGATATACAGTGGGTACGGAAAGTATTCAGACCCCCTTAAATTTTTCACTCTTTGTTATATTGCAGCCATTTGCTAAAATCATTTAAGTTAATTTTTTTTCCTCATTAATGTACACACAGCACCCCATATTGACAGAAAAACACAGAATTGTTGACATTTTGAATATACAAAGCATTTAAAATGGCAAAGCTTACATGTTTTAAGCTTTTGTGTGAACCTATAAAAATTAAGTTAATTCAGTTGATTCGCATTAATATAGTCACATATTTTCATTCATTTACTTTCGTTTTACCTTCTTGGAAATGCGTTCAAATTCTTGAAATTTTTCATAATCCCTTAACCTTCAACAGAGAAGTGAATTGCATAAACTCTGGATCAAACCTGTGTGAACCAAATGAACCTGATCTGAACTGGTTTGGATTTGTTTGGTTTTGTCGACTCTAAACCTATTTTGAGTTTGTTCAGTCAGCTTTGTGTAACAGGCCACTGGTCTCTCATCTTATCATTCGTCTGGCTAATTCATTACTGTATTTATTGCATTAGTTATGAGATTGCAATACATGTCATTAAAATAGTATTCAGTGTAAATTATAATCTATGGTTTGTTGTTCAACAGGCTCTCAAAGATGAGATTAAAGCCATGCACGGTCTACGCATATTCACTGATGTACCTAGAAAGTAGGAACTGCTCAGCGTCATTCTCGCATCACGTCAGCCTGCCGTCTCACTACGATATTATATCACACACCTCAGTCTGTCTCTCTTTATAAAGTAAATTATGCAGAGTTATAACAGTGGCAGAGGAGTAATTTACAGATGTTATTAATAAACGATGTACAGTTATAAAAAGATAGATATGGTTCACAAATGTTGTAATACGCACAAAATAAAAGACTGTCATGTTTTTTTTTTACCTGTAAATTAGAGTGTGAAAGAAAAATGTAAATGAGAGCGTGCAAGGTATGTGCATGGGTTGAATCTTCAGTCATTGTTCAGTAGTTTATTGATCCCGTTGTCTGTGTACAATCACACTCGGAAGTAGCTTTTGTCAGTTGTCTGATTTATTTTCTGTTCTGTCATTAGGTCTGTTGATCCATTAAATTATATCACAACCTTTCCCCTTGTGTGGCAGAAGATTGATTGTATTCTAGGACAAGAAAACCAGATTGTTATTTAATATGCAATTTCTTCAATGCTTGTATTTTTTTAAATGACCAAATGCATGGGTAGGTTCTAAAGAAACCATTTTCACCACTAGATGTCATTTTTGTGATTTTTTAACACGGTACGCATTTCACCAGTCGTATTTTGAATTGTATTGCCAGTTTAATACAGTGGACTAAATAATAGAGAACTTCAGTACTTTATGATTTTTTCTTCTTCTCAAGGATTTTTGCTTTAGTTTCTATGTAGGCTATTACTAGCTTTACGGTATTGTAGCTTATTCGGATACCGTATGTGACACATGATGTTCTGCTTTCCAGTGTGGTGGATAAAAGCATTCAATCAGATTCATTAGCGAATCGGTTCGTTCGGACAGTTCGTTTCAGTGGTTCAGAATGTTTAAATCGATATGCCAAAAATCCAAATTTCGGCGTATAGACGTAAATATCTTTAAGTTAAATATTGCTGTTTATGCATTTCCGAATAAAATGTGTACAGTCTTTTTAGTTTCAGTGAACCGTTTCAATGATCTGTCGACTCACTTGAACTACTTAAAAGTGTTTATCGAAGAATATTTTACTTCGTTTTTTTTTTTTTTGGGGGGGCAAAATTTTTTAGTTAAGAAAATTTT